CGTCCCTCTCGCTGCGCCTGCTCGGCCTGCTCCCTCAGGAGGCCCTGGAGTCACATTTTCGGTGCGGTAGTTTCCACGTGAAAATTCCCGAGACATTTCGATGTAGATATTTCCCTTTCGAAGAAATATGGAGAGGAAGGGGATAAGTCTATATAGATGAAGGCAGAAGGAGTCCACGTAGAAATCCTATTTTACGTCTACGTAGACAATTCCCTTTAAGAACCACGTGGATGTGTTGTGGACGAATGGTGGATAGATCCTCATCCACGTGGTCCACGGAGATTCGGTGGAATCCACGTGGATGGGACGTGCCGTTCCCATGGGGCATACCGTGCAAGCGTTCAAATGGAGACCCCACCCGGGGGCCTCCCGGTAGTCCGGGCGGAACCACCCGCGCCCAGGGGTATCAGTCGCACGCGCGGGTGTCCCGTTTCAATCCCATTTCCAACACCCGAACCACTTGGCGACGCACGGCCCGCACGGCCCGGTGCCCGGGTGCCGGCCCCCGCTCCTAGAACGAAACACGACTGCCTGTTTTAACTCGGGCATTTTATAAAAGTAATGTGCCCGGTATGATCACTCTATACCCCCCCCCCCCTTTTTCCTAGCAATTCACACACACACACACACACGCACACACAACCCCTCCGCTTGCGCGTGCTCAGTGGTGCGTGCCCATGTCGTGGTAGCTTCCCATTACGTTCTCGACGTAATTCGGTAATGAAGTGATGGCTACAAAACGTCGGCGCCGTACGACGTGCCCTGTGCCAGAGCCCCGCTTGCTCTCCCCGCGGGCCGGTCTCTTGCGGCGTCCAGGAATACGGAAACCATGGCGACTCGAGGGATAACTTACTTATTGTGGGTATTCAGGGAGAGGGGGAATGGGAACGCAACGCTTGAACATTGCATACACTGCCAGGCACATACACAATGTAAAGTAAAAATGTGTATTGTACTGTCCATAAAATATGGGACGGAACCAAAAGAAGAAAATCAATCTGCTTCTGTTTCTGCTCTTCTCTTTCATCCGTTAACCCATTAATGGTGTCCTTTACTCACAAGTTAAACTACTGTCAGTCAATCAATCAATAAATCAAACAAGCAGTGAATGAATGAATGAATGGATGAATGAATGAATGAATGGATGAATGAATTAATTAATTAATTAATTAATTAATTACCTCGTAAGCTGCGGCGCGCTGCAAAGAAATGCGGCCCAGCAGATGAGGTTTAAGGCCCCGCACCCCCGCCGTCTACTAACTTTGGCCCCTCCCACCCCTCTTCCTCCCAACCACCCCCTTCCTTCCCCCTCCAAATCGAGAATGAAACACGGAGCTTTGTGGAAACAATTGCTTCTGACCTCGTGGCTGCCTTTCTGCCTTTGAGGCTATAGTCGGCTTTGCCTATCCTCGCAGCACACGGCCCCTTATGGCCCGTGCGAGTAGGCAACCCGGCCGCACGCGTGCTTGCGGTACTACAGTGTAACTACGAAATTTGCGCGGCGTGAATCAGCCACCTGGTACATATACTTTCGGGTGAATTTTAACGTCCGCCAAATGACCTTTTCGCTTGCTCGCTCTCCCTCGTCGGCGGCAGCCGCCGCTTCCTTCAAAGAAGTCGGGCCCTCGCTGCCGGCCATTGTCCCCCGCCCTTAGCCCGTTCCCCCCGCCCCTAACTCCGGGAGCAGCAGGGTGAGGCCGAGAGATTTACTTCCAAGTCGAGCCATTTTTCAAACAGCTGGCCACTCCGCTCATCTCGAGAAGTGTTTTCCTCCTCGCTCGCTCCGGGTGCTCCGGGCGGCATCCCCTCCACCCCCACCCCCTCGACCTCCCCGATGACACACCTGCCCCGTGTGTTACGACCCCCTTACGAGGACCGCGCGGGTGCGGGTTGGGAGGGGGGGGGGGACACACGGGGCTGTTCGGTCGCGCGCACGGCGATCGGATGGGGTAGGCCATCCTGCAGCGCAGCGCTGCGGGCGGGACAACGGCGCTCCCAGGGGCCCCCTCGGGACGGGAGGGGGAGACCCTCCGCACCCCAGTCCCCCGGGGAGCCCCCGAAGCCAATAGCCGACGCTACGTCTGTGGAGTGGCATCGCGTTCAATCTCAGTACCTGCCGGCGCGGACGGCGCGGCCGGTGCCGGCGGGAGGGGCCTGCTCCGCTGCTCCCGATTGGGTTTTATATCGCGGCCAAGTGGTCGCGGGGGGAGGGGGGAGGGCTGCGTGTGAGGCGAGGGGCCCGGGGCCGAGCTCGGGGCTGAAGGGGTGTCACTTTCAGACGCAGCCGGGCCGGCCGGGCCCCTCACAGCCCCGCTCTGCCCCGCCCTGCTCCGCTCGCCAAGGAACGCGCCCCGACTCACAATTATCCCGGGGGATGGTAGGGATGCGGGATTAGCTCCCAAATCCCCGGGCCTAAGCTGCCCCCCCCCTCCCCTCGGCGGCGCCCAGCCGGCTGGCCCAGCGCCCGGCCCGTTCAGCCAGGCAGATTCGCCCCCGCGACTGACTATTATCGTGCGGCGCGACGGTCAGGGATGCGCGCCCCGCCGCCGCCCGGCGTGAACGACGAGCACGCACCCTGTGGGCGAGCGTGGGTCGTGTGGCCCCCAGCCTGACCCCGACCCGACGTGGGAAACGCAACAAGAAATCGCGAATGTTATCGTAGCGCCCCCGAGCTGCCCGGGGGGTGGGGACCGCAGGCTCCTGGCAGGGGGCTGACGTGCCCAAGTGGTGCTCGGGGTGCATGGAGCCGTGGCGCCTGGCGCCCCAGAGGAGAGCGATAGCGCTCTCCTCACCTGGACCGCTATCTGCGACGCCCTCTTCCCCGACGCAGGGGAGGGCCGCTCTAGCGGGAAAACTTTATATCTCCGTCTGATCTTGTGTCCGTCTAGCGAACGCCAATGTTTCTTCACTGCAAGAGCCTGCTCTCTCTACACTGTTAACAAACAACTCGTCACGACCCGACTCATCTTTTGATGATATTCCGTTTTCTGTAAAACAACAAGTTTCTTTCAAACAGCACGCTACTTGAAGCCTGGGCGAAGATGCCGTCAGACAACAGCACAGGTGTCGAACCAGAGTGCTAACAAGCTTGACTACAAAAGAGTGTCGCAAAACCGCGCCAACATTTTCAACATTGTTCTGCCGCCGCCCCAACCCCCCTCGGGCTGGCCGGGTTTCCTCCCTCGCTACCCACGCCCGCCCCGAGGCTCTGGACGATCTCGCGCGGCGCCGAGCACGCGAGCTTGTTGCCAGGGGCGCTGGCGCTGGCGCTGTCGGGGCCCCAGCGCGCACGTGAGAAGAGAAGGCAGCGTCGTCGTGCCGGTACCCTTCCACAAAGTGTCGCTCGTTGCAAAGTTTTGCAGCCTGAAAGTTGAAAAGTCGATCCCACCCCACCCGGCGTGTAACGCATACGCACTCTTACCCCTCTGTGTGAGAGGAATAGCGAGCCGCCCCGACCGCCGCCCCGGCCCCGGGCCCCGGCCTGCTCAGCCGGCGCGTATGCAGCCCACTCAGCGTCCATGTGCTACGGGTGGCCTATGCTGTCCGTAAGCAGCTTACGGCTGTCCGTTCCTTCCGCCCCACCCCGCCCGTCGTGGGATGGCAGCCCAGGGAAGGGAAGCAGGAGCG